TACTTGAACTTTTCAACCTTCGATGAGAAGAAAATGAAAGAGGTGGAGCATCGATACCGCGTGAGAGCCTAGGGAGTATCCATGTTTGCCTTCCACAGCATGCAGAATGCTGGAAGTTGGTGGGGAAGATGGAGAGGCGCCTCGGAGTAGGGCCAGGAGGGAAGTGGGACATGGGAGGCTCCAGGGACCACAATAGTGCTCTGCCTTTATTTCCTGCAGGTGAAAAACCTCAGCCAGCGAGGTCTGGCCGTCAGCGTTAACTTCTGGGCTCCCATCCTGCTGAACGGTGTGCCTGTGTGGGATGCGGTCGTGGAGGCCCCAGACCAGGTACCCGCCCGCCTCTCCTCTATCTCCAGACTGACATCCCACAGCACTGCACTCCCTCTTACCAGGGACGTGTTGCTCATTCTGTGGCTAAGTGCTTCTCTCTCTCCCCAGAGTCTCCCCTGTGTATCAGAGAGAAAATCTCCCCAGCATTCTGACTTCCTGATCCAGATTTCCAGAAGTCCCATGCTGGTGAGAAGGGCCCTGAACCCCCATTGCAAGATCAGCCCCCACCGGGGGATCCCAGGAAATGTACTGCTATAACTGTCATCCCGGGAAATGTCCTATAACTGTTCATCTGTCCCCCACCCCAAACCTGACCATATTTTTTCCTATGGTTCCTTCCTCAGTGAAGAACCCCTCAGCTTCACCCCTCTTCTGCCCCCAGGACTGCTCCATTGCTGACTGCCTGCGGTTCCGCTGTGACATCCCCTCCTTCAGCATCCAGGAGGAGCTGGACTTCACCCTGAAGGGCAACCTCAGCTTTGACTGGGTCCGCCAGGTGTGTGGGTGCAATGGCAGAGCCCCTGCCCCGGACTCAGGCGGGACCTGGCGTGTCTATGCCCATCTGTAAGCCAGGGCATCCCCGGAGCTCTGAGCCTCCCCAGAGCCAGTTCCACAGGTTTCCCCAACCCCTTTACAGACATCGCAGAAGAAGGTATCGGTCGTGAGTGTGGCTGAAATTACATTCGACACATCTGTGTACTCCCAGCTTCCTGGACAGGAGGCATTTATGAGCGCTCAGGTAGAGACTGTGGTGGGGGCAGCATCCAGGCTGGAAAGAGGGCCCCTGGGGCTCCATCTGCAGTGCTGAGTGGGGGTTTGTAAGCCTGGGGGAGGAGGGTGAAGGTCTCTGGGCAGGACAGCTGTCCCTAAGGGCATGGGTGCTGCTGCATCTCACCCCTTGGAGCAGGGACTCGGGGAGGAGAGGAGGGACATAAACGTTGGGGAACCTGGGAGGCATCTGGGATGGCAGGAGGCCGGGGCTCTCTGATTTCTAAATCAGATGGAGACCGTGCTAGAAGAACACGAGGACTACAATGCCATCCCCCTCATCATGGGCAGCTCTGTGGGGGGTCTGCTGCTGCTGGCGCTCATCACAGCTGCACTGTACAAGGCAAGTGTTTAATCCCGCTCTTTTTTTTTTCTTTTTCTTTTTTTTGAGATGGAGTTTCCACTTGTTGCCCAGGCTGGAGTGCAATGGTGCAATCTCGGCTCACTGCAACCTCCGCCTCTCGGGTTCAGGCAATTCTCCTGCCTCAGCCTCCTGAGTAGCTGGGATTACAGGCATGCACCACCATGTCCAGCTAGTTTTTTGTATTATTAGTAGCGACAGGGTTTCACCATGTTGGCCAGGCTGGTCTCGAACATCTATCCTCAGGTGATCCACTTGCCTCAGCCTCCCAAAGTGCTGGGATTACAGGCGTGAGCCAATGCGTCTGGGCTTATCCCACTCTTGACATCACCAGAATCCAACCCAAGCCTCCTACAGACGGGGCGGTATAGTGAGAACTCAGGTATCTGTGGAGGCAAGCAGGCCTGGACACACATTTTGGCTCTATCATGTACTCACTGTTTAATGTTAGGCAAGTCTAGCCAAATCGCTGGATCTGTTTCTCTCTCTCCCTTTCTTTTTTTTGTCTCAGTCACCCAGCCTGGAGTGCAGTGGTGCGATCTCGGTTCACTGCAATCTCCACCTCCTGGGTTCAAGAGATTCTCATGCCTCAGCCTCCCAAGTAGCTGGGACTACAGGCACACACCACCCCACCCAGCTAGTTTTTGCATTTTTAGTAGAGACAGGGTTTCACCATGTTGGCCAGGCTGGTCTCGAACTCCTCACCTCATGTGATCCACCCACCTTGGCTTCCCAAAGTGCTGGGATTACAGGTGTGAGCCACTGCGTCCGTTATTATCATTTTTGAAATGATAATAATGCTTATATCATAGAGTGGCTGAAGTGAGAGAGGCCAGGGCATGTGCACAGACCTGCCTGCATCTATGCTGTCCTGCTATGGTCATGTGTGTACCTACTGTGCTCGGGGCTAGCAGAAACTTGATATATGATAACTGTTGTTCACGTAAATGTTCTCGCACACAAACATGTTAGCTTGGTTGTCATCTCCTCTTCTCTCTCAGCTTCTTCTTACTCCCAGATTTTTTCCCTGCCCTCTTCCCCAGCTTTTCTTTTTTTTTTTTTTTTTTTTTTGGTATGGAGTCTTGCTCTGTCGCCCAGGCTGGAGTGCAATGGCACGATCTTGGCTCACTGCATCCTCTGCCTCCTGGGTTTAAGCAATTCTGCCTCAGCCTCCTGAGTAGCTGGGATTACAGGCGCATGGCACCACACTGGGCTAATAGAGACAGGGCTTCACCATGTTGGCTAGGCTAGTCTCAAACTCCTGTCATCAGGTGATCCACCTGCCTCAGCTTTCCAAAGTGCTGGGATTATAGGTATGAGCCACCATGCCCAGCCTTACCCAGCTTTTCTAATTTACTTCCCCTGATAGCTTGGCTTCTTCAAACGCCACTACAAGGAAATGCTGGACGACAAGCCTGAAGACACTGCCACATTCAATGAGGAGGATTTCAGCTGTGTGGCCCCAAATGTGGCTTTGTCCTAATAATCCACTTTTCTGTTTATCTCTACCCCTGTGAGCTGGTCTTCCTTGCACCCATAAATCAACTTACATGGAAATAACTTCTGCATAGATCTGCCAAGGCCTGAGCAACCTATCAGGTGCTAAGCACCTTCTCAGAGAGATAGATATTATAATATTTTTACATGTCTGTCCACCTTTTTCAGCGATTACCCACTTTTTATAGAAGCAGGCATGGTACCAACATAAAATTTTATATATATAAGAAATGTCACATGAAATGAGGATGTTTATAGCACACTTTCCTTGCATGGGAGAGCAAGGACCTGAGTGCCAGTCTGGGAATAGTTGGGGAAACCTGTTTGTGGGCATTGAAACAGTTCTCTCATTTTCTATGGCAACGGATGCCTGAGATCATCTTTTCTTTTTCTGTTTTTTTTTCCTTTTTTTTTTTTTTGAGACAGAATCTTGCTCTGTCACCCAGGCTGGAGTGCAGCAGGGCAATCTTGGCTCAGTGCAACCTCTGCCTCCCGAGTTCAAGCGATTCTCCTCTTCAGCCTCCTGAGTAGTTGGGACTACAGGCACATGCCACCAGGCCTGGCTAATTTTTGTATTTTTAGTACAGATGGGGTTTCACCATATTGGTCAGACTTGTCTTGAATTCCTGACCTTGTGATCTGCCCGTCTCAGCCTCCCAAAGTGTTGGGATTACAAGTGTGAGCCACCATCTTTTCTTAATTGGGCTGAGGGGTGTATCGGGGAGAGGGTCAGAGTGTGTGTGTGTGTGTGTGTGTGTGTGTGTGTGTATGCACACACACACACAGGCATGCATTGATCATGGGTTTTTGAACACACTGCAGGTTCCTCCATAATGGCAAGTGGGCAGACTGTCCTGGGCGGTGAATGTGGGAGGTAGAAAAGTTCCTCTTCGAAGTTTCTTTTCTTGTTAAAGAATAAATCCTTCTTGCTTGTTGTTAATAACTTTGTTAAGCCCTATCCTATGTAGCTGTTAGACATGGTTACAGGCACATAGTACATTCTATGTCCTTCAACTTTAACCAAAATATCTGTGCTGAACATGCTCACAGGCATGTCTCCACTTGCAGCCTATGCCCCTTCCTTATTTGGACTTCCTTTCTGTTCTCCATTACTTTTACCTTTTTAGAAAAGTTTTAAGTTGTTAGCAAATCAGGTTTTAGTTTAGAATGTGAGGTCTGGCTCCAACCAATGGAGATCAGTCACAGCAGTAAGGACAACCCCAAATGTGTAAGGGATAAATATGTCTGCTTTTCCTTTGTTCATTGAACTCTTGTGGTAAGATGGCTACTGAGGGTACCCTTCCTGCAGGAAGTAAAAATTGCCTTGCTGAGAGATCCTTTGTCTCAGTGCTCATTTTTCTTTGCAGCACTGAGCATCTGTTTCCAACATGAAATGTCCACAGCTCATCTAAACTCCAGTCCCCCTTGAATGGGGTGCCCAGAAGCCAGGAGAGCCAGCTAGGAGCATGTGATTTCCCAAATAGAAGCCCCATTAAGAAAGGTCATAGAGAATGACCGAAAGATTCCAAATCCAGTATTAGGTCCCCAGGCCACACACACAGGACGGTGGAGCCTGTGTCTGAAATTCAGATAGCTGGGATTCAGAGACACCAGTGGCTCAGGTGTCAGGCGAGAAGCAGACTTCAGGATCTGCAGCCCGGGACTCCCAGGAGAACAGGCTGCCCGAACTTGGACAAGTCATTTAATCCCTGAGAATCTCAGGTCCTCCTCTGGAGAAGGGGAACCAAAATTATACCCTGCTCCCAGAGTTACTGCGGGGATTCAGTGTATGGGGAAGCCCATTACAGCCGAGAGCCCTAATTATTAACAGGTGTGTGAGAGAGAAAGGACTCATTATTACTAGGTGAGAGAGAGGAAGCTGGGATCACCTACCTGTGCATGGGGGAGGAACACCCCAGTATCAGCGACGTGGGTAAAACACGTGGAGCGCCCACCGAGCTGTGTGCATGCGTGGAACAAGACCGCACTCGGTGCCTCTGCCAGCGCTCCCCGCGGCCCCGCCCTCCCCACAGAGCCACGGACGTGACGCTTCACACCTTTATTGCACCCGTGGACGTCAGGGGTCTCAGGGGCTTTCGTAACCCGTGGGCAGAGGGTTGACGCGGGAATTGTGGAACAGAGTGTGGTTGCCGTCCCCCCAGGGGAAGCGCTGCGGAGAGAGCGGAAGAGGGAGGGCGGGTGAGCGCCGAGTCCGGCTCCGCCCCTCCCGCGCCCCCCCACCCCCCGCTCCCCTGCGCACACATCCCGCACCCCTCCCACCCCCACGTCCCCAGTGCGCCCGTCCCTCGCCCCCACCCACGCGCCTGTCCCGCGCCCCCCGCGCGCCCGTCCCGGGTACCTTGGTGCGGATGCGGAGGTGGGGATAGGCAATGAACTCAGGGCGCGGGCGGTGGCCTGAGTGGAGATAGGCGTTGAGGGTGCAGAGGGCCACGCTCGGCAGTGCCAGCACGAAGGTCAGCAGGCGCCAGGTGCGAGCTGCGGGCAGAGCGAAGTGAACGCAGCAGGCCTGGGGGGGCGGGCCCGGGAACAGGTGGGCAGGGTCGGGGAGCCCCGGCATCCGCCCGCTCCCCACTCACCGGTCCCTCCATGGCCTTCTTTGGCAGCGCTGGCGAAGCCCCGGCTCAGGGCCCTCAGCGGCAAAGCCATGGCGGTGTGGGGAGCCGGGAACCAGTACTGTCCTGGCTCTCCTTCCTGGGGCCTGGGGTTTCCTCCCCTCTCTGGCCAATCACCTGTTGAATCTGGATTACAGGCGGCTATTTTTAGGGGTTTCTATATTTAAAATGGGGCCTGACTGGCTTGAGGGCGTCTCCAGACAGCTGTTGTCCTGTGCCTCTTATTTTGGAGAGGGGGTATTTAAAGTGCAATGCCATTCTTTTTATGTAGTTGCAGGGAAAATATTTTGTTCCCTATTCTATGCCTGGTGGCTGGCACACGGTTAGCCTTTAATAAATATTTGTAGAATGAATAAAATTTTTTTGAGTCTGTCTTTCAGCTGTAAAATGTGTAATAATTCATACCTTAAAAGAATTTTTAAATCATAGAGACGGGGATCTCACTGTGTTGTCCAGGGTGGTCTGGAACTCTTGGGCTCACGTGATCCTCCCACCTCAGCCTCCCACAGTGCTGGGATTATAGGCATGAGCCACTGCTCCCGGCCCTTAAATGATTTTTATGAAGTTTATGTAAGGTGGGAATGTGTCAACCTAGATTTTGGCTGGTAATACTAGTTCAGTATATGTATTCGTCACAGTTCTTTGTAAAGAACAGAACTCACTCTCACTAGTTTTAAAAGATAATTGAGACTCTTAGGTAGCTCACTATGTCTGGTATGGCCAGAGAGGCCTACAGTCTGCACAGTCAGAAACAAGTCACTCTGTTGGCCAGCTGCAGTGACAACCCCACAGCTCACACTGCTGGATCCTCAATGCCGAAAACTTCATTAATGCTGCCCTGGAAAGCCAGAGTCTTCCACCCTCATCCCCATGAAACCTGTATCCTGGGTCACTCTTCTGAAAGAGTCATGTGATCGCACCCACTGGCAACCCCTAGGTGCCCAAGATGCAGGAGGGGCTGGGAAACTGAGCTCTGGATTCTGTCTTAGGGAGGCAGGAATTGTAGGAAAAATCCCCAGGTCTAGGATGAATATTCAAGTCTCTGAGCAGCCACAAGCCTGACAGGTGTCTACTGCAAAGTGCATTATTTCAATCTGAAAAATATGACTGCTCGGTGAAAGTAAGTCTAGACGGGGCCGGTATGAACCCTCTATCAAAGCAGGCCACAAGAAAGCCACAAGACCAGGCAGGGATGACATGTGCCTGTTCTGCCCTCAGCACCCAGCGTGGACCTTGGCATGAAGTAGGTGTTCTAAAAATATGTATCTAATGAATGCTTGAATGTTGTTCCTTTGGTTAACCCTACAGCAATGCCTTTTCAGAGTTACAATCCAACAGGAAGCTTCCAGCTTTTATCAAGGGTTGATGTACCTAATATGAACTTAATATACAAAAGAAAAATGAATTATATAGACATCTAATCTGAATTTAATATATAAAAGAAAAACGAGGAAGGTACATTTTCGAGAATGGGCCATATACCTGTTTCTCCTCGGTAATAAGCTGAACACTAGGTTCGACCTAACTTTAAGCTGCTGCTGCTACTTTTTAAAAAACTAACCTCCTTGAGCAGTCAAATGTTATACACTGTTGCAAAATTATTCCCTCACAGTTGTTTTCCCCAGTTGGACTTTGGCATTGTTGCAGAGAAGATGGGGCCCTATTCCAGTTAAAGATAACTGGCATCTCCCTGCGCACATAGCCCCCTCCCTACGTATATAAGGTAATGGCTCCTGGAGAAAACAGAAACGAAGATGATACTTTTACTTTAAAAAGTAGTGAGATGTGGTGGCTCACACTTGTAATCCCAGCTCTTTGAGGGGCCCAGGCAGGAGGACTGCTTGAGATCAGGAGTTTGAGGTCAGCCTGGGCAATGAAGTGAGACACCATCTCTTAAAAAAAAAAAAAAAATTAGCTGGGTGTGGTGGTGCATACCTGTAGTTCCAGCTACTTGGGAGGCTGAGGCAGGAGGACTGCTTGAGCCCAGGAGAAGGAGGCTGCAATGAGCTGTGATTGTACCACTGTACTCCAGCTTGGGTGACAGAGCAAGACTCTGTCTCCAAAAAAAAAAA